ACCAGGAAAATTCCAGCCTCTCCAGACAATCTAATCCACATTTAACTGTTTATCACTACAAAGCTTCCCTAATGTCTGATCTTCACCTCTTCTGATKCTATCTAAGATGATTAAGTCTCAGTCCTATGTACAGAGAGCAGGGAGAATCAGCTACTCCCTTCCTATTTGAACCAGAATTTGCTTCTGGTTTACCTCTTTTGCATATTTGAAGACTTCCTGCTATTTTTTTTCCTTAATGCCATAATAAACACATATATTTTTCAGTCATTCCTGACAGYAGGTGTTTTCTAGATCCCTATGAGTTCTCTGCTCATGTTGTACCTGGCAACAAGCTAAGCTGTTAGAATAAAGAGCATGATAATGTTTAGTGGAGGCATTAGAAATAATCATATTGATTATATAGTGACCTGATCCATATTCCTGCTCTCTCTGACACAATCAGTCACCTGCACAGCAGGCAGGGCTGTGTCAGACTTGCTTGGCAGAGCAGGTGGCTCCCAACTTGCAAATCGAGTTGCTTTGCTCCTCTAGCTGCTCACACATCTGCAGCTGGGCCAGTCCCTTGGCCATGCAGAGACCGGGCTGCAGGGACACTGCCCTGACCTGGCACCTCTCTGAGGGTCTCACACCAGCTGCTCCACTTCCCACACCGAGGGGAGCACCTTGGGCTCACATCCATAAAGCTAGCAAGTGCCCAAATGTTTGCAAAATCCAGTGTAAGCTGCCTCTGGACGCTCCTCCAGGGCAAATAGCAGCTTCTCATGTACATTTGTACTTTGCTGTACACTAATGTTTATATAAATCTGCGGTAAGAAAACATATCTCTATCCATGCCTCGACTACACCAATGCCAGCTGTAAAATCGAGTCACATTTACAGAAGAAAACCAGCTTCACCACACAGCCTGCCTGTCCTCTATGAGGACGTGTTTAATTATGTCTTGCTTTCCCTGTGCAGGAGGATAAATGAGCAGCGAAGAGAACGCCGCACTGTTGCTCCTGAGCAGCTGATGAGAAGTAGTTTGCACAGAGGTGAGTACGYGTCCCTGTTGGAAATTAATTGGAGAAGGGAGCAGCAGATTGCTCTGCTTTGGACCAGTAATAATTCTGACTTGCAAAATGTGCTCTGCTAAGAGACCAGGCAGCTCACCTGTTATTCCCAAAACCTTTATGTCTAAAAGACTACTGCAAATGCAGACAGGCAGTGACATTCCTGCAGGGGAAGAGATTCCATGTCTGGAGCTTGAGAGCACAGTGAGACAAAGGCAGATGAGATGGTACACTGTCTGGCTCCTGCTGTTTGTGCAGACAGATGTGCTCACTGACTGTGCTCAATTAGATTACTGGATGGTTTTGCTGGACCATGTGAGCTGAGCTAGCGTTTGCCTCAATGTGTCATTTCATCTCTCCTCCCATTCGCTGCCAGTGCTGCTGCGTTGTGACTGTCCGGTGTCAGTGCCTCTGCCTGGGAACTCCTGCTYCAGGTAGGTTTGAATTTTCTTCTCTTTCAAGAGTTAGATTTTGGCTGTCTGAGAAGTGCAGGAATGGCAGGGACTGCTCTGAACAAGAAAAAAAGGAGGGCAGAGGAGAGATAGAAATAAATTTTGACTGCTTTTGTGCTCTGAGTCTGCTTTCATGTCCCCTGATTTATACAGTGCATGTATTCACCTTCCAGCTCAGACAGGGCATGTGAGTAAGGCATGTGTTACAGAAGACCCTTGCCAGGCAGGGCTGCTCCAAGGGGAGAATTTTAGAGAGACCATGCACATTGTACAACATCCCAAACCAACACAAGACCAAAGAAGTTTCATCTCGGTGCAAGACGGTGTGAGGGATGAAGAGATCCTTTACTTGAGCACAAAACAGCAATCTGTGGCCACCTGCAYTTTCTAACCAGGAAAACCACACTGAGGAAAAAGTGTTTGCTTTCTACAGGCTCACTGTGAATTTAACAGTGGTGCCAGCTCAAGCTGACAGCTTTGCATGAGGGGGTCAGGGAAAGGAATGCCATGATACAGATGGTTTTGTCTTAACAACAGAACAGAAAATGCCAAATGACTCAAAATAAACATGAAATGCATAACATTCATCACTACTGACTGAGGCCAAACAGGAACTCAAAACCTATGTGCAAAACCTGTGCCTTTTGCTTTTTAATTAGCTAACAAATTAGCTGAAAACAATTACCAATATTTATTAAGCCAGGAGCAGTTTACAGGGTACTAACTCTATTCCTAAGATAGTATCCTCATTTTCTGGAAAGGTCTGTTCCCATTCATCCACAGGGAAGACACTTCAATCCCCAATTCTACTGGGGAGTGTGTTTCCACTACAGGAGCCACACCAAAAACTCCTGTCATGCTAAAATAAGAATTGCTTCAATGCAGGTTGAGGGAACAATAGAAAGGAGTGGCTCTGCAAATGTCAGTCAGCACCAATTTTAGTTCTGCCAGCACAGAACCCTTTYACACAGCCTGTTTGTTAAATTGAGTGATAAATTTGATCTTCTAATATTTTTGTGCATTTATGTTCTTGCACACAGAATATGCAGAGATCCAATACAAAATAGAACAGAAGAAGCCAGGAGCATTGTGATGTTTCCTCACACCTTGCTGGTGGTTGGYGCYSTAATATGGTTCAGATGTACATCAARATTTGGTTGSTCCTTGYATCTGAGCTTTTGATGAGCCTGTAAATCAACAACTCACCAATACCTGAAAAAGAATTTTTCCATTGAGATGACTCACGTGACTTATACTCTATATTTTGTTTGACTGAGTTTGGGTTTGGTTTTTTTGGTTTGTTGGTTGTGGGTTTTTCTCTGGGATTGATTTTGTTTGGTGATTTTTGTCTATGGTTCAAGCATGGATCTTATTTCACACACAGCAGCACAAGCTAGAACTAGAGCTAAAAAAAAAACAAAGAAGTCCCCCCAAATCTCAAAGGTTTTGACAGCTTGATTTTCCACAGCAGTCATTTACATGTGTGTTTTTAGGTTTCAAAATACTGATTGTGCCAGAGAACCAAGGCACTGGGATTGAGAAGAAGCACCAAGCACGCAGCCTTCTTTCCCCCAAGGCTATTTGTACCAAAGGATCACAGTCAGTCTGGRTTTTTGCAAATATGTTGCAGCAATGTCTGTGCAAGGAAAAAAAACCAAACCAAACCAACAACAAAATACATCAAGGAAAAGTTAAATCTTTCACTACTCTTCTATGAACGGCAGACTCATCTTGTTTTCTGCATGCAGCTTTACTTGTTTTATGTGGACCACGCTAGTAATGCAGGCTCAAAACTAAGTGTTCTTACATACATATAATATATATATTTCGAGATTCTAGAGCTTTTCCTAGCTGCGTAGCAGATTGCACTGTGCCTAATGCAGTTTTAAAAGCATYTGAACAGACAGTTTCTAAGAYATCTAAWTGCCTTGAAAGATCTCAGCCTTTGRTTCTTTGGAAAAATGTGCTCTCTGCCCACAGCTGAGATTCCGTGGATGAAATGCTGAGATGAAATGTCTGCAAGAGCTGGATGGTGTTTTTCCTTATGTAGAASAATGGACTGCCCACAGAACATTTACTGGCAAAATCTCAGATCAACTGGTTYTGCCTCAGCACTGCTTCACACTGGAGCAAAAGAACATAATGCTGGAAAAGGTTTACATGCCCCAAACATGATGTCTCATGGCAGGAGATCCAYGAACAGACTTGCAGTGGGAATAAAGAGACTCCCAATGGTTTCACTTTAGTCAGAGCTGTGTCAAGCTCTCATTGTATAAGCATGTTAYACCAGATGCACACACAGTTCATAGAAATACAAATGTCTCATCAGAAAGCCTAGCGTTAGTTTAAGTAGTTTAAAGAGCAGGTTTTGCTAACCCAGTTCCTTGTGATGGAGCCTGAAGCTCATCACAAAACATCCATGACTCTAAGCAGAAACTGTTTGTCAGATATCAAATTTACAGCTGAGGAAAACATTGCTGAAAAAACTGATGGCTGTGATATAACTATAAACAGAGGTAAAAAGGATTGTCCTGCTTCTTATATGAGTGTTGGTGGCCTTACATGAGAAATGAAGAGTAGTGGAGCCAGGAACACACAGGCGGAAGATGGATGAATGGTTCTTCTCCATCCTGTATTGTTTGGCTGGAAAATGGTATTTATTGAGCCGTTTTTCTGATAATGGCCTTCAAGAAATTGTATTCATCCAGGTTATCAAAGAGAAGAAAGCCCACAATAGTTTATACATGCTTGATCTAGTAGTGAAATTGTCACCGAGATATGTTGAAATGGTATTTATTTTATGTTACAAGTCTTTCACAATTCACAAGTGGTGATGACTGATATACTGGGGTGGTTAAAAAGAATCCTGCAAGTAAAAAAATATAATTACATGAGGTAAATGTGAGGTATTCCTGTCACAGGGTGCATGCATAGAAATTTTAATAGCTATGTGATATATGCAGGGAGAATGGGTAGGGAGCAGTTAAGAACATACCCATGAATTGAATTTGGGGACACTGAAATATGTTCCAGCTGCTCATTGCCAAGACAGCAATTATGCAATATGTCTGTTTAATCTTCAGGGTGCTGTGGAGCAGTTTCAATCTGCAAGTTGTTCTTGCACTGCTTCCACATCAATGATGATTGTGCAACTGTTAATATTGAAAGTAAGGGCAGCAGCTGCATGCTCTGCATCAGATGGATCCGTGCATCCTCCAGCAGGAAGSAAGCACAGCCATCAAAACAAGCTGTTGGTGGTGTCTGATCTTGTATTTCAAGAGAGACTCTTTGAGCAGCAATAAACACACTCAGATGTTACTTYTTTGCTGTTCTGATTCTCAGTGTTTCACTTCCATTTGTTTYCTGTGCTRTTAATTTGCAAGCACAAAAACCTCRTAAGAGGCTGAACTTCTCAGTKAGTTTGATTTTAGCAGAAGYCTGTAAAGCTCTTATTGAMGAYAAGGTGTCCTTTCTGAAGGAAAATATCAGAGAATCTAACAGCACAGAGTGCGTCACACAGGACCACCACATCACCTGTGCCCTCTCAGCCCAGGAGGGAGACTTCACCCTCATGTCATGACACTGCACAAAGAGTTTGAGACCTTTGAGCTTTTCTTCAGGGAGCCATTCATGCCCCAAAATGTCTACAGCAGTATCTCCCACCCATGGATTGACCTCCACTGCATGAGAGACCTGCTGGACTTTGGCCATGCTCTGATGCTATCTACTCAACACGTCTCCTTGAAGAGCAACTGGGGGATYATCCAGCTGCTGATGTCCTTGGGCGGGGAAGAACATCACACCCAGGATACTGCCACCTCCCCATGTCACCACTTGCATCCAATTTGTGCACAGGGACCAGTTTTACTCTTCCTTTTTTTCGTGTTGTGGACATTGGTGTGCAAGATACCCCTGGCTGCACAACCTGACCATCACTTTTGACTCTGGATACAAGGCCAGCACCGGGCCCTTTGTGGAGTTTGTGCTGCAGGACCAGCATGTTCTTGGACACCAGCATGGCCCAAGGACACCAACAGCCCTGAGGTGCACTTTTGGGTGTCCCTTGCTCAGCAGGCTGCCAGGTGAGCATGCTTCCATCTGTAGATACACACACTCATGCTTGTTTCACACATGGAGACAGCTGGAGAGGGACTTCTCACAAGGTGATAGTGATAAGACAGGGGGGAATGGCTTGTAATTGAAGAAGGGTAGGTTTGGCCTAGATACAAGGAAGAAATTCTTTACTGTGATGGTGGTGGTGTGGCAAAGGAGCAGGTTGCCCAGAGAATTGGTGAATTGCCCGTCCCTAGAAGTGTTCAAGGCCAAGTCATGTGGGACTTTGAAGAAATTGGTCTAGTGGAAAGGGTCCCTGCCCATGAAAAGGGGTTTGGAACTACAAGATCTGTTAAGTCTTTTTCCAACCCAAACCATTTTATGATTMTATTTCAAAGGTGCACAGGCATGTACACATGCAGAAGCATTATCTGAGGTCGCCTTTGGAAAAACCTAGACGAAAAATTTAATTGCTATAAAAGGCTGATCTATCAAATAAYCTTACTGGCCCTTTTTGAGCACTGTGGGAGAGGTGATGCTGAATGTGCATTACCGTTCCATGTCTGAGCAGGAAGATGATCAGGGATGTTAATTCAAAGATAAATCCTTGGACATTTCAGCTGATTTAAGCCTTTTACCTGTAAAATCTGAGATGATGAAAAGAGAAGTAATAAAAATTGAAAATGTAAACACTGTAGGGAAGAGATTTTCTACAAGTTGTTCATTTTGCTGTGGGGAGTTTTGTTTTTCAACAAAGTGAAGTCAATTCTTCTCTCTTTATTCCTCCAGCACCAAAAAATCTGAGTTCAGGCTGGGGTCAATTTCTAGGCTTCACAAGATTTTCTATAGGACTACACACTACTGTCCCCCACAACTGCAAAAAACCCATGTGCTCATAACTACTGCTTGAAGTCCATTGTATGAAGCCAAGGGTTTGTGCAGAGAAGCAGAATAAGAACCAGTATTTTCATCTTTACTGAGTGYATTTACAATTTCTTTTACCGTGTTTGCATGACTGGGAAAGGGTTGGAGATGCGTAGGATTTCACCCTCAYGCACTTTGCTTTTAGAAGCACCTGGTAGGACTCTGGTGCTCCTGACTCACCAGAGCTTCTCAGCATCCCAAAACAGGAATATCAGGAATGGAAGGACAGGAAAATTTTGTCTGTCTTTTTCTTTCTTTCCACCTCATCCCTGCTGTAACTTGTGGGAAACAAACATAGGAAGCAGCAACAGAGGCAGTGCACATTTACTTTAACTTTCAAATTATCATATAACTTACGAGTGCTTGCTCCTCTGATAATTATATTTTATTTTATTTATGCTTGCACAAGAAGCATGAGTGATTACTGATCAAGATATCTGTAGTATAATCATCAGCATATATTGTTTGTAGCTAGATCACTTGTCCAGGAASCTGGTTGCTGAGATCCTACATTGCCTTGGAAGCCATAAACCTGGGACCAGAYATGTTCTCCATGGTGAGAAAGCTTTAGGTGGTGGACATTTGTTGTGCTGCACTGTGTAGCTCACAATGGCTGCACATTTCATTGTTGTTTCCACAATAACCATTGTGTGTTTCCCAGTGTTACACATTGACATAACATTTTTTGTGGTTGTTCTCTTTGCAACTGAAAGATGCAACATTTCCACAGCAGGTRTGTTTTATTTCCCTCTTCCTTTTTTTCTTGCCATCATATTAAAGGTCCAAAGTGGCCATGTGGCTATGACAGATGTGCTCAGAGGATGTGGTTACCCAGGATTTTGAATCTAAATTTACAATGATAATACTCAGACACTCACCTGAACGTATCCAAGTCAGATCCAGAGTGTTGAGCAACTCTGGGGTGAGAAGCCATAAATCAGAGTGCATGGGTGTTAGTTCTGAATCTGGCTGCCAGACTCTAACAAAAAACTCTTATCCAGGTTTGTCTAGGCTGTTTCCAGGCTCATCAAAGGGAGGTAATGATGTCCAGCTGTTAAAACTAAAAGTTGGAGGCCTCCAGGCGAGTAGAGGAGTCATTTAAGAATAAGTTTGGATGGATAGCATACCATGAAAGAACTAAACCAAACAGATATTTATAGTTTCAGTATCAGCCATGGTAATCTCAGTTCAGATAAAAATCAATACCATTTGTCCCTAAATTTTAAAATAGCATGTTYATTATGTTTAAGTAATGTAATGGAGACACCTGCACCATCCCTGTGCAGGTCAGTGGCCACGTCCCAGGCCAGCAGGGTCCCCTCTGGGCCACCCTTCCTCTCTCTGCTCATATAAAGCAAGAAGCAGGGTCTGATGGCCACGGGAGAGGTGTGCATCCACAGTCCACACTACTGAGTCCCTCAGGGTAACTTTACTTCTTCAAAGCCAAATTCCTGCCCTTACTTTCATACAGTATGGTCACAGCACATGAATTTGGGACACAAACAGGCTCAGGTGAAAACAATCCCTCAGGGTATGCACGGGTGTGTCCATCRACATACATCTGCTGGTCACTAGCAATTTACACCTTATTCAAGGGGGAAAAGAAAACCCAAAAAAAGTAATAGCAGCGYTTCTCATTCAGAGTCACCAACATGCCTTTACCAGACAGATGAGTGGTTTTATTTTCCAGAAGCCAGCAGCTCTGTGGAGAAGAGGATGCTCTGACAGATATTGTGTCTGTTAAAACTCAAAGAATCGGACTCACCTCAGCTCTCAGGTAGCAAGAAGTTTGCTAATATATTCATTAGCTTTCTCAATTATTGCAAAGGAATKAAAATGGTAGATAGTTTTGTTTTGGGGTGGAGTATTAATCCACTCCTAGACTTTGAAAGTATATCTGCATCATCCTGAAGGCAAGCCCTCAGTTGGGAGCTGAATGGTGTACAGAAAAATAAGAAAAATGGCCACAGRTATGTCTCCAGTAGGGGCAGGTAAYGCTGAAGTTAACCAGTAGGATGTCAAGGGAGATGGGAGTTGTCCTCCCAGGTATCCTTCCCAGGTAGAGCTTTTAGCTCTCAAGGAACATCTCATTCACATCCCTTGGATGTGGGCATGAGATCAAGGAGAAATAACAGAAAATTCTGAGTAGCACTGCCAGTACATCMATCTACCACGTTAGCCATTTCCTTACTTTTAAGAAGTTTTTATGCAGCCATTTGCTTGAACAGATAGACCTGTGGGTTTTTTTCAGATGCTTTAGCTTGCTCTGAACTTTTCACCACAGCAGTTTAATAACTGAAAACCATTCTGGTACCTCTCCRTCCCACTGTCATTTGTAGACAGGCTCTGGGAACAACCTTCCCTGCAATGCATATGTCACACTAATATACACTAATRGGGTTCTGTTCTGCTGCTATAATTGTTAATTTTCCTTAGCTTAGTCCACACCCTTCTAAAGTCAGACAGACAGAGACACAGAAAGTTTTTTAATATGATTCCAGACARTGATGCTGGTTGAATAACCACGTTCTAGAAAAGAAAGTATTTTAAACCTATGTCTGCATCATTACTCATTTAACTAATCCTCATTCTTTTGTTCCCATTCTCCATYATTTTAATGAGACTTCCTGATTGAGCAAGAGTTTCTCATAGGAATAAAACTTCAAAAAATAGGGATTTTCCTCTGACTGTTTTTGAGTCTCATGCCCACGAAGTTGTTGTAATCTCATCATCGGAACTTCCACTTTTGAAAAACCTGTTCAAGGGAAAGTGTTCCAACACCATTGCAGCAATCATAAAAACACCTTCTTAATTGCAGAATTTTCTGAAAGATTTTTCTAGTCCTCTACTCACAATTCAGATATTATAGTTCTTCTGAGAAGATTAACTTAAAACAGACTTTGGTCTCTATGCAATTCACTGTCATTGGAATTTAGGTACTGCAAAGGAATAATACTTTCCTTCACAAACAGTTGTTTGCTTCTCACTGAAGCAGCACTTAATGATGATGGGATAAGGAGGGGTAGGTCTTCAACAAGACTTCTTGAAAAACCACAGCAACTAAATGGGCTTGTCCTCCCTCACTTGGTTCTCCTTTACCTTTTCAATTATCAGACACTGTTGTAAGAGGCTTCAAAGAGCACAACTCCTTGAAGAATTAAAGGAGAGTAATTTAAGGAAGATTTGTTTTTTTTCTCTAAATACCAGAATCAGGTAATGTCTGTGATAACTCATGCAAGTAACCAACTAAACTTCAGGCCAGCAGTAACACTTTTCTTGACATTCCCAGATGTTGAGTTGCCAACAGCCCTTGGCTTTTTTTAGGGGCAAGATCCAGTCAGTCCACTTGAGCCTTTCACCCATGAGCAAACCCACCTGACCTCACCTAAAGCTATGTTGTGCATGTTGAGGTACAAATCCTGCTGCCAACACAGTGCCTGGGCAGCCAGGCTGCAATTTGGCAGAGCCAGGCTGGAATTTGGCAGAGCCATGCTGGAATGGGTGCTGGGGTGGGTGCTGGCAGTTCCCACAGAGCAGCTCTCCCATGGCCTGTGCTTGGCACCCAGYGTGTCCTCTGAGTCCAGCTGAGCCCCACTGTGAGAAGCACTTCCTAAACTGCCCTCTAGAATTCTGCTGCTCTGATACTGTGACTCTCCCAAAGACAGTAGGCTTACTTCATGGGTCAAAAATAGCTCAGAAAAACTTCCTCCAAAACACACCACAAGAAGCTTCTAGAACTGAGACCCTCTCCTTATTATCCATCAGATGTTTCAACACAGGAGGTGCAGCTAGCTTCTTATGAGTGTCAGCAGCCCAACAGCTCAAGAAGATGATATGCATTGCCTTAAATCAGAGCACTTAGTTTTAAATAAGCTTCTTGCTTTTTTTCCTGAGTTTTAGTTCCTTCATTATATGTTCTGAGGTCTGCTTTGAGGCTCAACAATCTTGAGTTTATTTTAATTGAGCCTTCACCCCACCACATACACACTTTTATATTTGCATACCCCACTGAAACGAAATTTTCTGGTGGCAAAAAATGAAGTTGAGTCTTTGTACACTTTTAAGGAGGATGTTGGGGTTTTTTTCCTCCATTGTTTCAATCTCA